AAATCAAATCACACATTATATATGGATGAAATGAGAATAATGACAGAAAATAGTGAAGAAATTTGAACAATCCACAATGAAATTGTTGACAAATACATCAAAAAATGGAAGTGTCATCAAATAAATGACACTTCAGAAGATGGTTTGAGTCAAAATGAGTAGATAAAACTACTACAATGAAGGCATGGAAGTCAATCAATATTAAAAAGAATGCATTTCTACAATTAACTAAAATGCAAGATGGAGCAATATTTTGTTTGTATAGAAAAACAAAAATAATGAAAAATGAAAGATTGAAATACTGCACACTATGTAAAGACAAGATAACAACAGTAGAACACATCTTACTATCTTGTATTTATCATAATAAATCACAAATGGAAAAACATGAAAATATCGGCATTATAATATTGATTAATAAGAAAATATACATTCAATAAACAATATAAAACCTCCATATGAAACAATGTTCAAATATAAAGACATCACAATGATATGAACAAACAAATAATGCATAAAAATGAATGACAATATCACAAAATACCATATATATACGTACTAGATAAAAAGAATAAAACTAGTCTATTATTTGATATGACTATTGTGGCTGATCACAATATTAATTGAGACTATTGGAAGAAAAGAAATATGTATAATGAATTAAAGAATATGTTAATGAAAATAGAAAAGTTAAAAGATGTCAAAATAATTCCAGTAGTAATTTCAATCAATGGATTAATAAATAAAGAAAGTATTAGATTAATTAAAGAATTAAAAATTGAGATTGACATCGAGAAAGAAGTAAAAAACCATGTAATTAAAAACATGATAGATGTTATTGAATACTGCTTCAATCACAACAAAACATACTCCGTAGAGATACTAGAAGATGAAGACTCATTGACGGGATTAGTCTCCCCTGAACCATTAAAAATAGAAACTATTTCTATTAATACTTAATTAATTGCTTTATTATTTTTTATTCATTTCTTCTTTCTTGCTTTTTCTTTTTTTTGGAACTTATCCCACAATTTTAGTTCTTATTTCTTTTCGTCTCATTTCTTGTGATATATCTGATGATGAACATTCTAACTCTCATTTGTTTGCATTAAACTCTACATCACTAATACTCTTTATTGGTGAAGTTCAAATACTCACTTCTCAATTTGAAGTAAATCTAATGTAGATATTCTATTAAATGACTTTTTCACACAAAATTAAAATAAATTTAATGTTTTTTGAAACTCTTCATAAAATCAACAAAAAAATACTTAAAAACCATGAATTTATTCAAAATTAGTAATACATACCTTGAACAAATCCATCTTCTTTAAATCCCATATCTGACAAATGATCTATTTGCAAATATTCTTCCGTCATCTTGTATCTTTTTATATCAGCACATGGCTCAGACTCGTTATTCTGTGGAATAACTACTTTATTACTTGAGTCTTCAATTTGATGAAGTACTTCACTACTCTTAACTGGAAATACTTTATTACTATAATCAAACACTGTATGTTGATACTCAACAAAAGGAGAACCTATATCGTTATTTAATGGGTTATCTTCCATTGAGTTACTAATGTTAGTAGGAGATTGTGGTGGTTGAATTTTAACACCTTCATTTAATCGTTGACATGGAGCAACTGATAAACAAGATACTAATGATGGACAACTAACTTTGTCATTAAAACAATCGAATTTACTTTCATCAATAGCTTGATCCAAAAATTCTTCTGTTGAGAATACCAAAAGAATGTTTCCATATGTTGTTTTATTTAAACAATCTTTGTCCCCAATAAAAACACCTTCATATTCTGTTTGAGAACCCCTTTCTTTTTTGAGATATTGGCAAAGAAAGTCATATACTAAAGTTCCTGTTGTATTTAATACTTCTATTTTCTTATAAATACCAATACATTTACCACCTTTCTTTACTAATGGAAGTTTTGTATATTGTTGGCTACTAATGGCACTTTTTGATACTTTTGTGTGTGCCAAACTATTATCACTCCCAAGTTCATTGTATTTAAGATAACATTCATTAATGATATTCATAACAACAAGTTCATTGTAAACTAATCTCTTCTTATTTTGTTTTCCACTTTTCTCAGTTCCCTTTTTCATTATTGGAATTCCTTCAGTATCAAATTTTAATTTGGCTTCTTTCTCTTCTTGAATTAATTCATACTCAAACTCTTTATCAAATATTATTACTCCATTTTCGTTCCATATCTTTTGAATAGGGAAGAAGTGGTGTAATTTTTCCGCTCTTCTTTGTTCTTTTGAAAAAAGAAATGACCATCCTTTTGTTACTAAGTAGTAACACCCAGCTAATATATACATTCTTCTAGAGTTTGTTGACTTCATTTTAGTTTGAGCAGTTAAAGTTGCCTTTTGAAGTCTTGGAACTTTATCTAGTCTTTTTGCCATATCTTTAATGAAAAGATAGTTATCACCTAGGTTAAATAAAGAACTGTAACTAAAAATAAAATAAACATCATTGGTATTTTTTAGATCTTAAATAGTTATACCCCAAATTATGATTTTTTCTTTGAACTTTTCAATTCATCTTTCATAATTAAATAACAAGTTTATTTTATTATTTATATTCTTTTTAAACAATGAATTAATTAATTTAATTTATACTTAAAAATTCAAAAATTCTGTTTATAATTATTTTTTATTCTTTTGTGGAATAAATTCAAGTCTGACAATTTTATAAATAGTGAAAAACATAACTCTTTGACATAATTTTATTTCTTTTATACTTATTTACTTTCTAACTTTAATATAAATCAAAAAATAAAAACCTGAAGGAGGAAGAATTTACTTTGGTTGATTAATTTTTATATTATATTGTGTTATGACATTTCATATTTAACATCATTTATTTTATTTTAGTGAACAGAACATTCTCTTATAATTTAAGTAGAGAATTATTTGGTTTTATATATCAAAATGATAAAGATGTATAAGAAAAGAGTATTATAGTTTGTAATAGGTTTATAATTTTTTTGAAATTCTGATGTTATGTATTTGTCTTGTAAAAAATTGAAATATCGAAGGTGGCATGTCTGAAACACTACACACAAACATTAATATAATTAAAACTTCAACTTTTAATGGTAATTATCTGATTATGATAGTGTATTTGAATTAGGAATGTATTAGGTAAAGTTGCAAAGGGTGTAGCAAGATATTATGATAGAATATTACATGGTGTAATATAAGGAAGTACTAAAGTGTAGGTAAGACTAAAAGAAAATTAAACATAATAATATAGTGGGAATGAAATGTTTTCTTCTCCCATTCATAAAATAAAGAAAAAAGGAAAAAGAAAATGTTTAAAATTAAGATAGAAAATAAACAAAAGGATAAAAAGAAGAATTAAGCAGAAGAAGGATGAGAAGACATTAATAAGAAAAAATAAAACAAAGAAGTGATTTTCTCATTTTGCAAGAAAAACATAAATGATAAGTTAAACAAAAAGATTACTGTTTTTTAAACAGCTCAGGGATTAGTCTCCGCTAAACTAGGAAGAATATATGAAATTCTATTAACACTTAATTAACTATTTCTTTATTTTCATTTGTTTGAAAATTAAAAACTAAATCAGATTTAAATCAAAAACCACAAATTTTTATTTATGTTTTTATTTTTTAATCAACACTAATAATTATTATTATTTATTAACATGGAAAGTTCTCAACAAATCATTGAACGACTTAAGTTAGTTGAGTTACAACTTCAAAACGAAACGATGGAAAAAGAGTTAATGAAAAGAACGATAGAGTCATTAAAAATTCATATTAATTCGTTACAACACATACAACAAGTTATGAATAATGAAATTGAAGAACTAAAAGAAGAAAATCAAATATGTCATAGTGAATTAAGGACAATTTGTAATATATTAAAAAATACATTTGGAGAAGATGAAGAAGATATACTTGATATAAGTGAAGACAATAATAAAAAAAGAGTTGTTTCAATTTGTCTTGGGTATGAAGAAGAAATCAACGATAAATGTTTTGATTTGATTATTAATGAAATTAATAATAATTATTCAATAAGTTATTTAAAAGCATTTAAGAATATATTATGTCATCATCCTCATCTTATTAACGGAGAGTTTAAACCAGAGATTTGGCATATAATTGGAGACAAATTACAAGGAAATATAATAGAAAAAAATTATTGTATTGAAATGTTGATTTATATATCTACATTATTATATGACATTCCATTAACAATACTTGAACTACTCTCATCAATGTTTCAAAACCAAACAACATCATTAAATATAAAAAATTCAATTCTTATTATAATGAGTTATCTTACTGATAATAATTTAGTACCATTTACTAAAATAATTCATCACATTCTCTCTTTTTGTCTAAACCCATTTTATTTAAATGAACAAAATTATGGAACAGCTACTATTGTTCTTTCACACATACTACCATTATTACCAAATCAAATAATTACTCTTATTGCACCTGATATCATTCGTTTAAATTTATGGCAAATTGATTTTGGAGAAGAATGGAGAAATAAAAATCATATTGATCCACATCATTTAATTTTACTTTTATTTAAATCAAATGAAACTATTCAAACATTAAAATCAACTTTTATTCAAAATGTATCATGTTTAGAATATATACTAAATCATCTTGAATTACGTTCTGATGAATCTCTTCAAATATTATATGAAATTGTTGATTTAATACCATCCAAATGTTCTAAGTTTATTGAAAAATTATTAGAATTATATCCATTTACTGGTGATATAAATGCTTGTTTAACAGCATGTGATATATTCCTTATGTATTTACCAACACTATTATCTTCTTCATCATTTATTTTACTTAAACAACAAATACTCAAAACGATTCAACCATATATTGTTTTAAATGAAAAATTGGCAGTAGCATTTCATCAAATCTCTTCACTAACAATTTAAATGAATTTTTTTTTCTTTAACTACTCAATTATCCCATTCTTACTTTTACTTGTTTTCTTTTAACAAGTTTATTTCTTTGTTTTTCTTCATATTTTCGTCTTTCTTCAGGTGTCATAGCATTAATCTTCATTGCCTTTTCTTTTTCTATTCTTTCAGCATTTTCTTCTCTGATTTTCTTTGCTCTTTCCTTTTCTTCTTCTTCTTGAATTTCTGCTCTAACTGCTTTACATTTTTCAAGAAGATAAGGTTTAATTGTCACTTTATTAATAGAATTAGCTAATCCAAAAATAAGGTCAGTAGCTTTTGAAATAATTTCTCCATTACAAATTTTAATACTACATCTCATTAAAGATTTTTCATCACAAACTGATGTGGATTGATCAGATAAGATGAAATAATTAAATTCTTTTTCATATAAATTGATAAAATCAATCATTGGTTGATTTAAAATTCCTGTTGAATCAAATGCATCACTAAAAACAACATATTTTTCTGATAATTTCATTTGTGCTCCATTTCTAGTTTTACAGAATTTTGAAATTTCTGAATATTGTTTTCTTAATTTTTTTTCTTGTTTACTTTTACAAATACCATAAATACAAGGTGGTGCAATACCTTTATTGAACACAACATCAATTATTAATTCATCTTGTTGTTTAGTAATAAGAGAAAAAAGATGATTAAAGAGTTCTTGTCTTTTCACCAAATTGAAATTAAGACAAGCGCCTTTTATTAAAGGATGATCATAACATTCAATAACAAATTTATTACATGAAACACTCATAATTCCAACAGGAACTTCTGATTTCCTATTTCCTTTTTTAAAGTATTTAAATATTGCAGCATGAGCAAAATGTGCACTAATCATATTAAGATATTTGATTTATTATGTATTTTTAATAGTTCAATATATATTAAAACAAACTATTCTGTTACTACACTAGTATTACTAGATTTACCAATAAAGAAATATACAAAATATATAATCACAAAGAATAATGTAATATATTCCATTTTATAACTTTTGGAATGTAAGTCTTTTCGTTCAGAAGCTGGTTGTGGTTTTCTAGGTCTAACAAATTCAGAATGTGATATTTGTAAATTTTCTTCTTCATTAAAATCTTGTACCTCTTCATTTGTTTCTTGAGCAAGGGTTGAAAGAAGTAAAAGACTAGTAAGTAACAGTACTTTCATTACTGAATTATTTTAAGTTCATTTATTTTAACAAAACTATAATTTTATTATATTTTAATATTAATGCTAAAAGAAAAAAAAATAAAATAAAAATTAAGAAATAAAAAAAAAAAAAAACCCTCAAAGAATCTTTATAATAAAAAAAAAACCGAAAGAATGGAAAGTGATTATTATACCATTTTATTACAAGAAATAGCATATGAATCATGTGAATTTGGGATAGGTATAAAAAGTATAAAAGAAATAATACAAAAACGAATTGAATTTAAACCAACAAAAGAACAATGGGAAATAATCTTTTATGAACCAATAAAAGAAAGTATAGAATTATTTGAATTTTATGAAAAAAAGAAAGAAATAAAAGAAAAAAGAATAATAAAAGAAAAGATATATGAAGAAACAAATGAAATGACAATAAAAATGAAAAGAGAACATCATTTATATTTTTTAGGATATAGAGATACAAGTGTATATTTATCAGATTTATTATATAATGTATTAGCGTGTATTGGAAAAGAAAGAGGAAATGGAATAGCACAATATGATTTATTAAAAAAAGTAGAAATAGATAATAGAAATATAACGTATTATGTCAAAAAATTAACAGATGCTGGATTAATAAAAAAATATCCAATTTTAAAAAATTCATGGAAATTAGTTTTATCGATTTTTGATTTTAATTCTTCTAATCGTCAAAACTCAGAAGATGAAGACTTAATTGAAAAATATGAAAATATTTTTAAAAGAATATTAGAAGAAAATAAAGGAAAATATGTTCCACAAAGTGTAATTAGAAAAGCATTAGGACTTACTGGAGCACAAAATAAAAAAAGATTTAATTCAGTAGGAAGATTTATTCAAAGAAAAAAGATAGCTGAACTTGTTCAAGGAACAGTTAAAGGTGGATCAAGTAAAATTAGTATGTTTTGGAAATTAAAAGAAGAAAATAATGTTATTCAACAACCTTTTCAAATTAATGAAAATCAAATTGGTGGAATTGATGAAGAATTTTCTATTGTTCAAAATTCTAATAATCAAGAATATTCAATTAATTCACAAATGAATCCAATAATTCAAATACAAGAAAATGATGAAAATTCAATAAATGAAATTGAAAATACACAAATTGAAAATGGAGAAGATGAAGAAAGTGTTGGATTTCTTGGAAGAGAACATCCATTATTCAGTGAATTATATCAATTAGTTTCAATATCAAAAAATGGAGCAACAATAAGAGATATTTCAAAATATTTAAAAATGTCAATTAAATTAGCAACAAGAATAACACAATTTATTGCAAATACTAAAATGTTTGGAATTACAGTTACAATGGAAGGAAAAGTAAGATCAAAAACATCAGAATATCGTTTATGGCTTAAAGAAATTGCACCAAAAATTAATGAAGAAGAATTTAAAAAAGAAGAAATAAAACAAAAAGAAGAAGAAATAAAAAGAAAAGAAATAAAAAAAGAAGAAAGAAATGAAAATAATATTCTTTCACAACCTAAAAAAATTAGAAAATCTACAACTACTTTAAATAAAGAAAGAACTCGTTTAATTAATGAAATTATTCAACGTGAAGGAATTGTTGGATTATCTGAAATTAGAAGAGAACTTGGAATGAAAGAAAATACATCAGAACATCATAAAACTATTATGAGAATGCTTCAACCAGCAATTACTAAAGGATTAATTGAAATTAAATCATTAAAAATACCATTTGAAAATGGAGGATTTAGAAATATAAAAGTTGTTATTCAAACAAAATTAAAAGATGTTCATCAAAAAATAAAAGAATATATTATTAAATGTTCAAAAATTAAACCAATTAATAAAAAAGATATTGAAAATGTTGTTCAAATTGAAAAAGAAAATATTAGTGAAGTTGAAAAAAGAGAAGAAACTAAAGTTAAAAAATATTGGAAAGGAATGATTAAACCAGTTATGATTAGAGTTAAAACTTGTTTTATTGAAATTTGGAAATTTATCTTTGAAAAACAAAAAATAGAAGGAAAGAATTTTGTTATTCAAGAAAATGAAATAAATAATGAAGATTTAAAATTTACAACTGTTGATGATTGTATTAAATGGTTAAATCAATTGGAAATTACTCAAATTAAAATGAGACTTATGGAATTTGTAGAAAATTTAGAAATTGGAATGTTTAATAAATTAATTGGAATTGTAAAAGAAAATTGTCCATTTGATGAAAATTTAATTGAACAACCAATAAAAGTAAAAGATTTAGAAGTAATTGAAAGAGAATGGTTATTAACAAATAAATCATGGATTAAAAGATTAAATATTGTTATTTCATTTTTAAGAGATATGAGACTTATCCAAAGAGATATTGAATCAGATGATCCTGATGGAATGGTTGTTTCTAAAAAAGGTATTTTCTTTATTCAAAATAATCAAACAAAAGAAATTACAGCAAATATATTTAATTTCAATTCATTAATTACTGTTAATCAATTTTGGGTAAATGTTGAAGTAAAATCATTACAATTTCCAGTAACTGATCCAATAACACAAAAAACTGAAGAACCATCAACAATTGTTATTGAAGGACTTCAAAATTTACCATTATTAAAAAGAAGTATTTCATGGCATACTGGTTCAATTTTAACTAAACCACAAAGAGCTATGATTTATGATCATATTTATAATGAACATACTGAATATGACGAACAAAAATTATGTGAAGAAACAGGATTTAGTGAACAACAATTAGCTCATGTTATAAGTCAATTTAGACAAAGGTGTTTAAAGAAAAAACAACCAATTGTTGATAAAAAATTAAAAATTAGAAAATTTATTTTACCACAAAAAAAAAGAAAAACAGAAAAAAATGATGAAAAAAAATGGAGTAAAGAAGAAGATAGAAAAATATTAATTGCTTATAGAAAATATTGGTTTGAAGGAAATATTGAACAAAATGATGATTCTCTTCCTGAATTTTTACCTGATGGTATTTTAAAAAAATTAACAAAAAAAGTTGGAGCTAAAATGAAACAAATAAGTGTTAGATTAAAAGAATTATTATTACCTGAAAATCATGAAATTATTGAAGAAATATTTGATGAAGATTTAGAAAAATATGATGATGATGAAATTATTGAAATTAAAAAAAAAGAAAATAAAATATTTGATGATGATGTTCAACTTATTTTTAATAATGATGAACAAAGAAATGAAGTTTATAAATCAATGGCAATGCTTAGATTAAATCCTGATGAAATTAGAAGTTTAGGACTTGATGTTGATATGTTATTTAAAAAGTATCAACATGCATTAAGTTTTTTAGCTGAAATTAAATTTATTAGTAAAGATAGAAATCCTTTTAGTCCAATGTTAATGAGTTTAACTCCTTCTTTTATTAATCTTACTGAATCTAAATTATTTTCTCAATCTTTCTTTAAAAAATATACTCCAATTACTTCTTGTGGTTGGTGGGAAATTCAACAACCAATTCTTCAAGAACAAGTTGATGAAATGATTATTCAATTATCCTTTATTTCTGAAATTCATCCATATATATTTCCTAAAGGTGAATTTGCAAGTGAAAAAATAGGTGATAGTTCATTAATATTTTATGAAGAAGATATTAATGATAAATATGTTTATAGTAAAGGAAGTCAATGGTATTCTTCTTTAACTTTTCTTAAAAGACTTAGTTGTTTTAGTGATAAAGAAATTATGTTATTTAATCGTATTAAAAATATTTTTAATAATGAAGAAAATAATTCTATTGAAAGAGATTTAACAATTAGTATTATTATTAATCAAATTGGTTATTCTATTAAAGTTATTGAACCTATTATCGCTTATATGTTATTTAAAAAAATTATTATTAGAGAAAAAAGAATTTATTCTTTACCTCTTGAACAAATTGTATCAGAACCTTTAGACTTAGACAGAATGACTCCTTGGTCTAAATTTGATGGTAATATTGATATTGATTTATTTAATTCTTTAATTCATAGAATGAAATCTTTTGTATTTAAATATCCTTCTGTCTCTGTTGAAAATTTATGTAAAAAATTCCCTTTTGCTCAAGAAGATACATTATATTTATTACAATATCTTGTTGATGAAGGTGATATTGAGATTAGAACAAATGGTTTATTTGAAGATGGTTTATATGTTTTTCCTAAAATTTCATCATTTTTTTAATTAATTATTTTGTACTTTTTTTTTTTGTTTTTCTTTTTAAATTTTATATTTATTATAATTATTATAATTATTATAATTTTTTATTATTTTTTTTAATTTTATAAAAAAAAGGGTTTTAAAACTTAAAATAAGGAATTTCTTTGTGAAATGGTTTGTCTCCTTTCGTTTTATTTTATTCGAAACTGCGAACAATTCTTACTAACTTTTAGGCTAGAGGACCAAGACATCACTTAAAGAGATTAAATGCACCACACCATTGGATGCTTTCTAAATTAGGAGGAACTTTTGCACCAAAACCATCACATGGACCACATGGAATGAAAGAATGTCTTCCACTCATTCTTATTTTGAGAAATAGATTGAACTATGCATTAAATGGAAGAGAAGTTACAATGATTGTTAAGAACAGAACAATCAAAATTGACGGAAAGATTAGAACTGACACTAGATATCCAGTTGGATTTATGGATGTTCTTTCTATCCCAAGAACTAAAGAAAACTTTAGATTAATGTATAACACTAAAAGAAGATTTTGCTTAGTTCCATTAACTGCTGAACAAGCTAAATTCAAATTATGCAAAATTGAAAAGAGAGTACTTGGAACTGGTGCTATTCCATACATTGTTACTCATGATGGTAGAACTATTAGATATCCACATCCAGAACTTCAAGCTAATGATACAATCAAACTTAATCTTGAAACAGGAAAAATCGTTGATTTTGTTAAGTTTGATATTGGAAATACTGCTATGATGATTGGTGGTAATGGTATGGGTCGTGTTGGAGTTATTGTTAAAAGAGAAGTTCATCCAGGATCATTTGAAATTGTTCACATTAAAGATGCTAAAGGAAACACTTTCACTACTAGATTAAACAATGTCTTTGTTATTGGTAAAGGAACAGAAACTCTTGTTAATCTTCCACTTGACAAAGGAATTAAGAAACCATTATTACAACAAGTCAATGAAACTATTAAGAAGAA